GAAAGAGTTCCCAGTCGTCGCGTGTGAGTTCTCGGCAACAACATCGTTTGAACGAAACATTTATCAACAGAGAGGGAGGTCAACGAAGCGGTGTGATCTCCGGATCTTCCCCGACGACGACGAGAGGAGAGCGTCTGAACTGTCTTTTGAAATAAAATCTACTTTTCCCCTCAACTCAGATACGTAAACAATGCGATCCATTTTCTCTTCATGTCTGCTCGGATGACAGGAAAAATTCGGGGCGAGGGAAGGGACTGGGGACGGAAGACGCAGATACGGCAAACGAAAACCCGTCCACCATTGTAATTGCGAGCGAACTAGCTCGCAAACTTTTGCAAGCGGGGCGAGTACAGCGGTACAAAGCGAAACCATGCAAGAATGACGCGGTGAGCGTGCATACATGCCTCTGCACGGCGGACTGCGGCGTAAGGGACCGAATTGTCGTCGCATGCCAATATTTTCAATAAACTTGTCGATATCTTCCGTCATTCAGATCACATCGATTACAGTGCACGCGAAGCAACAGCTGCAGGGTCGACGCCGACGATTGTGAAGGCGGCAAAATCTACGTGGGTCTCAAGCAAACGCCCTCGAGAACATTGTCGAGTCTCAGAAACGGTGGGACATGCTGACCGGAGATTTCCTCGATTCCGAGATTTTTCCTCCGTGTCAATGTCCTGTAGCTCTAGAGAATGCCCCTCCCACGCCGAGAATGTGCTACGAGACCTCGCTCCGAACGGTAGGTCGGGCTCCCCCGCTTGCAGGAATATTGATTTCCATTTCAATAGTATAGCCACCAGCTATCCGATCGTACACCCACGCAGCTTCAGGGTGCGGAAAAAGTAAGCCCGGCAGTTGTGTATCTCTTCGCCAGCTGGCTCGGTGGAATACTTTAGAATTCACTGTGAGGAGTCAGGCACGGGGAGCGAGTTCCCTCTACGAACCAATCGTGCCTCGTACGCTTCCGTCCTTTCTGAGGAGCAACAACCTGAAAGCGAAGAACCCAGAGGCGGCACCGAGAACATCTCAGAATCAGTGCCCACGCCGACGAAACAGTGAGCGATATTCATGCAGACGGGCAACTAATGGGAGCGATAGTTCTTCTCACAAACGGTCAGCGATTTGTAATCATTAGTCTCGTGTTACGTTCCGTTTGTCATCAATCCGAAGAAATTCGAGTGCCCACCCCCTGCTATATCTCCGAGTCTCCTTCGGTCTCTAGACTCCCTTATTTCGTTCGCTACGTAATCCGTGCTTTCTCCATTCTCCGTCCTGATTCATGCCGTCTCGGAAGGCCTGCCGAGGCTCCATGAGTTTTGCCAAGCTCGGGCGGTTGTCCTCCGAGAAATCCAGCGTAGGACGTTAGAAGACTGGAAATTGCGAGCGAAGTTCGTGAAGTCCTCGTATGTACATATTTTATTATTATATTCCATCCGTGTCGTTCCCAGATTTGACCGTAGGGATGCATCTATAAAAACAGACGAGAGGTCTATCTGGCCGGATCAAGCGAAAGCGAACGGTGAGTCGAACGAGAATGTATCGCGCCCCGGAGCCCGAAGAGTATCCATCCCGCAGTAGGAGCAACAACAACAAGCTCGTCGACGACGGCGACCACCGCTGCGGCGGCGGCATCAGAGTCAGGTCAAATCATTCATAGCCGGCGAGCGCTTCAGGAGCAAGTCGAGCCAAGGGCGAAAACAACGAACCACTCACTCCGACAGGGAGTCGGCCGGAGGGAAAACTCGAGGAAACAGAAATTACAGGAAGAACAGCGCGACCTGGTTCGTAGCAACCCGGAAAACAAGAATAGCAAAGGAGCCAGAGAAGCCTGAGGATCATCCCAAGAACGAAGGAAGAGCAGCGAGACGTATCATTTGCGTCGAGCGGAGTCTGGCTCGAGCGTCGGCCGTGGGTATTTCCTTCCATTCTCTTTACGTCAGCCAGCTTGCGCTCCCAGTCGGTCTCTTTCTGATCCAAGCCGTTCGAAAACTGCTTTCTCCAGTTGACAGAGCCTATTGGCAGAGCCGGAGAAGCGGCTGCAATAAAAATCAGCAGGCAATTGATCTGGCTGCCAGCGAGCATTATACGTGGGCTTCACAGTCCTCTGCGTCTACTGGGAGGTCAGGCTTTTTCTCGTGATCCTCTCGTTTTCGCCTCTCTTCCTCCAACTCGTTCCCCACCTGCGAAGCAGCCAGTCAAATGGCCGTCTCTCCACCGCTCATCGAGTCGGTAGCTCCTGAAAGGAATTCTCGAAACAGGAAAAACTTTAATAAAACGACAGTAGACGAGACGAACGTCGTCGAACAAAAGGGGAAGTGCGGCTGTCAAGTGGCAGACGGCAGAGAGGAAACAGATGTAGATTTTGTTCGTTCGAGATAGTCGCTTTCATCCGCTGTTGGAACTGGAGGCTGGTGGAAGAGGACGCGCAGACAGACGACGCACGTGGGGGAAGTGGGGGAACGCGGCTGGTGGATGGACGGGCAGGCGGACCCAGCGAAAAGCAACAGAATACTGCTCATTCGAGCTCGTCGAAGATAAGACATGACGTGCGCGCGAGCAAGGTGTGCGTGCGCACGACAAACTGGAGAAAGTAAAGAGACTAAAGAAACGACGTGGGAAGAACGAATTCTCCAACGCCTTGAACGAGCGGAGCCGCGGACCCACATACGTGGCTAACTGCGATTCGCGCCGAGCCACGCCGACAGACTGAGCCAAATCGGGCACTACGCGAGTTTCGCTAAACCGCGCCGAACGGGTTAAATCGAGCTCAGTCGACTCGGAGTCTGCAGCACCGGGCCTGGAACCATCAGGGCAGCTTCGATGTCGACGTCGTCTCCGACGCTCGATCCGGACGTGAAGACCGGAACAAAAAAGGAGTTTGCGGAGGAGAGTCAACATTCGGATTGTTGCATTTCGATTGATTGGAGCCGCCGACGAAGAGCTACACAGCGGGACCAGCAGATATAGCACTCGAAACTTCAGTTTCCGCTGCCGGTGCTCCGTCGTCATAAACATGGTGATGAGGTCCCGGTTGTCGGCCGTTCCACGAGAAGTCCATTATTTGAATTTATCCGAGGCACGAAAACTCTCGGCCCTGTTGCGTAGGCCGCGGAGTAGCGCGTTATCAATTTCAGCTCTTGGGGGTGCCATCGTGGTGGCGATCGGGTGAGAAATGATACGATCGCAGTCTTCCGCGGGAGTGTCGATCGGATGTTTTGAGTCGGATTTCCGTCTGAATGGGACGACTTCAAAACGACGGTATCTAGCTCACGTTGATATGGACTCAACCGTGGGTGAAGCGACTATTTCTAGATGCAGCTTAGAAAATGTTAGCTCTACCTATTCTGAACAAAAAGCCTGTACGCTTGAAGAAACCCCTGGAGACGTTTTTAACGGGAGTACGTCGAACGGTGAGTGTTGTTTGCTTTGATGGATGCTTTCCTGGAGTAGGTCCAAATGAGGGGGCGCTTGGATTAAAGGCTTATGATCACCAGGACGCGTCATAGGTCATGTGACTCATGACGAGCGGTTTCGATTCAGTCCAATGCTCAACCTTTTCGCGAACGCAGTTCGGCCGTGGAAACGAGCTCTCTCCCATTGATCCGAAGTTTAACTCTTCGGCTCTTCGATGAGCGATCAATGCTAGGAAACCTTTTCATGCTTTTCATGCGGAGCCATGGGCTGGTACCCGAGCAACGAAGCAGCGGAACGAAAAACAGAGTGGAGAAAGCTCGATGAAAATAGTCGAAGCGACCGAGAGAGGCGATAAGAATTTTGATTTTTCCAGGGAAAGAGAACGGGAGGGTAGTGCAGATGCAGCGGAGGGAAAATATCGCTATCGAGGGCAGAGGTTGAACAGAAAATTAGGTGGGTGAAACCATGGAAGGCCTAAGGAGCAGTCTGGAGGTGTTGGAGGGCGGGATCTTAGATCAGGGAATGACAGGAAAAACACGCATAGCAGGACAGAGAGCGGAGGGAAGGAACATCTAGGCGGCACGGAGGGTCGAATCGAACGTTGAAGCGGAAAAGAACGATAGAGGATGGGAGATTTCGGGAAAAGAAAAGAACTTGGAACGAAGAGGAATCCGTAAAATAAATCGGAACCGATACGGAAAACAAGGGCGCATTGAGTGAGCGAACGAGCGAGCGGGCTCACCGCGAATGAGGCGAGCGAATCTCGAGAGACTCCGCGCCTTTCCGATCGTGCCTTCAGCTGTAGAGGCAGGACAGCGCGCGGTGAAGAATCGCCAGCGTAGTGTGGGCGCCTTGCCTGAGGCTGTATCTGCACGGAGAGGCAGGGCCGAGGGTCGCTGGAGGGAACGGGGACGAGAGCTCCGACAGAGGAATCGGTCGCTGGCAATACTAGCTGGCTTACTGGTTGCAATTATTTCGACCTTGGCCTCTCGTAGCGGTACGAAAGGAGAGAATGTGCGTGTGCGGAACAATGGATTCCCTACAAACGAGCGAATTCATTTGCTCACGCAATCGCGCTCGTTGCTCCGTGGTCTGTGGGATTGTCGACCAACATGCCTGCCTGCTTGCGGAACCTGTGCTCGCTTTGTGACTGCGACGTTTTACGATTGCGGTCTGACCGGTATCTGCGGCCGACTCGGTGAATCACGGCGTCTCGTCACCCGCACGATTCATTATTTCAATTCTCTCCTTATCGCCGCGATTCACGGGGTTCGTTCTCAGATCTGTTCTCTGAGCAGTCAACGTCGCATCGGAGGTTTCGCTTGATCGCTGAGTGATCGTGAACCTCATCCTTTGGGAGCTCGAGGGTTTTTCGAGATTTTGTAACGCCATATGCATCTGGGCGGAAGCCTTCGATCTCGAGACCTCTGCGCTCTCCGCGTGCAACCGTTCGCTTGCGTCGGCTCAAACTCAACGTGTTTCCTCGATGAAAGACGCAATTATCATGATTCACCCGCGAACGATTACGCTGACGCTCCTCAGGCTTATCTGTTGGCAGAACAGTCTGCGATAGCCTCGAAGAGTACCCGAAGTACTCGAAGAGTGGCCTGAAAGTACCGAGACTGATTATTTATTTTCGGATCCGAGCTCTGAGCACGCACCGTCACCTCGTGGCGTCGTTCACCGTTTTCGGTACACGTCCAGTAGACCCTCGTCTCGGGCAGGGTCGAAGGGAAACAGAGTTCCGGTACGTTTTTCAGCGTTATTGGCGAGCCCGAGAGGTACCTCGGCCATTTTGCACCAGGGCCCGCAGTCCGGCAACGAGGACCGACGCCGCAGATGCAAGATTCTTGAGGGCCCGTGTCTCGATTGTCCTCTCAACTTGCCACTCGCTCGCAATTGCTTCGCTGGCGACGGGCTTACTGCCGAAGTCCTGTGGGACCTCGGTCGTCGGCAGCGTTGAAGTTGCTGCTGGCGTTGTTCGATAGGAGCGGCCGGTGGTCAGTGTGCTTCCGATATAAGTGCAAGAGTTTGCTAATCCGAGCTGACAATGGATGTCATTCCTCATCCCGCAATAGCTTGTCAGACACTAGTTAGCGAAATCACTCGACTTGGGAGCTAGCAGAGAACTTCTCGCCTCCAGGCGAGAGGAGAACATCTGGAGCCTTTTTCCAGGAGGCTCACTAAACTGATAATCGATGCCCAAGGATTATACACGTGTTTTCTCACTAAGTGACCCGTGAGCTGAAAGACACAAGGAGCCATGCGAGCACCGGATCGGAGTTTACTCGAATTCCGAGGAGTCAAATGCCTATCGGTGGCTCTGCGAGAAACCCAGGGTCGAGCAGAGAGGCTCAGCGATCGGAAATATTCTCCCGTGATTCGCATTCCCGGAGGCATTTTAGCGCAGCTGAGGATCACGGACAGCCCGGAGTGGTCCGACCGCCGTTCTGTGGGACGTCGTTCTCCAGGAAAACTCGCTGGGTGCTGTCGCCGCGACGAGTCCGCCAATTCACCGAGGGAAGTTGTCCCTATTTCCAATCTGGAACCCGTCCTCAAAACGGGTCGGATTCGGATCATTGGGACAGTAACGTCAGCGGCACCAGCTCGACCGGGAACATCTGCAGCATCAGCCATGATGGCTGAATTTTTAGAAACGTAGAATCATCGTGCAACGCAGCCGACAGGTGTTACCGAGCTGACCGTCTTTTTGATGGTCGGATCGAGTTTCCCAATGGTTTTCCCGAGGAGAGAAAGTCGAAACACATCGGTGCCTGGTCCGTTTGAGATGCGGTGCTTCTCCTGGGTAAGAGAATCTGTCATCAACAACCTCCTTCTGTCCCATAGCCGTCTGGAATGCAGATTTGACTTTCAAAAGACGTGTCCGCTAGATTGCGTTCTAGACTCTTGGTCGGCCTGGATACGATTACCGTATCGGATCCGTTCGATATTCTCCAAAGTTCGACACGAACGAGTCTACAGTCGTTCGGCTGGACCCATTCGGTTTTTTTTCAGGTCACCCCGACCGACAAGCGAGTTTTGCTCCCACGCATGCGAAAGTTCAAAGAATAATCGCTCTAAGTTGGCCGGCAGCAGATGTCTCGGAGGTAAAAAAAGATATCTCAGAACTCGAGTCGGAGTACGTCATGAGACCGTAAGGCATCTGAATAGACGTCAGACACGGACTCCTTCAGAAAGGGTCCCATTCCCGTCGCAAATTGCCTATGGAATGACGGAGGATGGAGCGCGCGGGAGCGGTGAAGAGTGGACCTCTGAGCCTTTTTGTTTCTCCTGTTTCCGCTTTAAACAGAGCAGAAGGTAGGATTGTTGGAAGAGGTGAGATTGTTTGAGGAGCCAAGCTCTGACGAGCGCAGCGACGGGAGAGGAAATAGGTGGAGGGAGCTGTCGCACTCGAAACAAATTCGTTCATTTCTCGCATCGCTGGTTCGTTTTCGTAGTCTTTCATCCTTTTTCTCAGCTCAGGACCCTCTGCGCAGTCGCCGGCGTCGGTGGCGGTAGCGTAGTGCCCATCTTTTTTTTTCATCGTTTTTTTCCAAAGTAGTAAACGGTAAGGAAAGATTGTGCGAGGACGTAGGAACAGACAGATAGCTGGCGAAGAAGATGGAGAGCAGAGCTTTCAAGGCCCGGCTTTCGAGAAGCGGCTCCTAAGGAGAAGGGATGAGGCACGAAACCGAAATCGCAACTGAAACGGAAAGTCGGAAGGGGGAACGGAGACACGGACCGATAGCTTGACTATCGTTCCCGATTCCGTGGCCAGCTTTATCCTTCGAATTTCCCTCCGGACGAGCCGCAGAACGGCATCCGCCGAAGAAAACTTGCGCCGCTCAGTTTCTGTGCAAAACGCGTCAATCGAGCCATGTTTCGTTTCTGCGAGTGCTCGTCTCACTCAGAAGCTTCGTTGTGAAGATCGATCAACAATACCTAAATCTAATTGACGATTAGCAACCTTCGCGTAAGAAGACCCTTTTCTCGAACGCGGGTGATTCTCTCTCAAATAGAACCCGGAAAATCCCTCCGATTCTGTAGCAAAGCCTTCTGCGCACATGTGCACTTCGGAAATCGCCGCTGGACCCCGCGCGGTCCAGCGCTCATACGAGACGCAGGTTAATTTTTTTTGGTTCCCAGAATCGACGCAACGTCTCAGAAACAGAGCCATACGGTACTCTGGGGGACGTCACGTACCACTTGAGAGCAGAACGCTTCTGATCGGCTCGAGATAGCGCCGGCGGCGCTGAACACTGTTACGAATTCTTCTCGGCAACAACATCGATGAGCTCGTCGGACACAACATCAGAACGTCCCATGCGGTACGACCGAGCGGTGCATATACTCGATACCCGGACCGTTCATTAATCCAGAGACACGAGTTCGGACTTTCGCTACGCTCAAAAGTTCATCCGTCATTGCTCTCCAAGGTCCGCATGCCGTCGGTGGGAGTCTTTCTTCCGTCAGTGCTCGCGTCCTCCGAGACAAGACAAAGCGACGGGATGAAATTGAATCCAATGAGGATCCCCAGCATGTCCGTGGAGGAGGAATTCGGACTATAGAACTTTCCTTGAGGAAACGCAGTCCGAGAATGGGCTCCTGACTCCGTCCAGTGGTTGACGTGGAATGGACTGCGGATCCCACTCGCGAACTTTTCATGGGCTCTTCAGGGGTCCGATTTGTCTATTCTCTCGGAGGGATCGAATGGCTACCCGTGTCGATGGTCAGAAACAATTCGAAGCTCGCGGAGCACTCACGTGGACTCGCAGTTACGGCAAAGACCGATTCCCCTGTCATTTGACTCCCACCGATAGAAGGCGGACTTGCGAAGTCTCCGTGTGAGCTCGAGTGATGCTTACACGGAACCCCGAACGTCAGAGAATGTCGACTCTCCGGAGAGTTTATCCAGAGAGTTCCCGAAAAGATCAGGCGTTACGAGAACTCGGTCGACTCGATCAGATCAGAAAACCTATTGCGCTTCCGTGCCCTACCACCGTCCAAACGTTGGTCGACTTCCTCTCGGACCGGATGTCTTATCTAGAAACGTTCGAAGGCACACGTTCTCGTAGCCTGCCGCGGTATTCATGTCAGCGTGCGGACCACGAATCTCGCGCTTCCGGACACGCGATCCGAAGAAAGAGGGAGAGAAGTCCCTCCGGATCGATCAACAGGGCGATGGGAACGACGATAGTAATTGCCAAGTCGAGTGATCGCTCGGCGTCCGATGACGCTCGGTAGCGCGTCCACTCACTTGGATCCATGCACTTCAAATAATTCTGAGCTTGAATAGAAAAAAATTCGGAAGGATCGTAGAAAGCCACTACCGCGCTGTAGCCTTGAAACGTCGGTCGTTCCGCTCCTCTGCTGGTGACAAGGATGTTACGGCGGAGGTCAATCATTTTCGGTGTTTCTTCCCGTAATCGAAGTCGTCCTCCCACTGAGTATCTTGGGTCGAGGGGAGAAATCTTCCATTTATTCCGTTTTCCTGGCTGGCCCTTCTCCGTTATTCAATAACGAAGTTTCGCATGGTCGGGGTCGCGATTCGAGCCAAGTGATACACAAGCTGGGAATCACAGAATCGCGAAGAGCACGAATGATCGCCTCATATAATGAGCTTGCGATATCCTCATGAATCATGGAGTTTTTCCTAGAGGCGCTCTCGAATGTTGATCATGTGTTGGCGTGACGGAGCGGGGCGGAAGACCGCTCCACCATCGAGGGAAACTGATGTCCATGCCTGATTTTGACTTATTCCCGGGGTATGCGAGAACACCATCAGAGAAGCGACTAAGACGCATCTGCTTCAGGCTGAGTTTAACGGGAATTCGCTTGGTGATTAGACGAATCACGAAGTGCTCAGGTGGATCTTCTCCGGGACGCTGAAGACGAAGTGCCCGAAGACGAAGCTTGTAGACGTTTCCACGACAAGGAAACCGTCAAGCCACACCTCACGATTTCGTTGCAAGGGGTATAAACTCCGAAGCCGCGCCCGGCTGGTAGGCAGAGCCTGCTCGGGAGGGTGCAAAGGTCGAGTTAGGAAAACTGGCAGACTGGTGGACGCAGTAATTCAAGCGAGAGATGACAGAACAAGCTCTCTGTCAAAAATCTGCAGGGGCCGATATACTGCCGTTTTCTCAGAGTTCCGAGTCAGTTATCTCCACGATGGGATAACCAATCATTAGGATTGGGAGCGGAACGAACACGCTGAGCGGCCCGTGGAAACGTCGCCAGACTTGAGTCTTGACGGCAAGAATACAGCAGTGTGCAATATGCTTGTCAAGGCCACCTCCATGTCAAACTCTCCACCTCCCGTCTTCGCAAAGTGCGTTTTCCCCCGAAGTTCTACTCAGTTTTCGGAGACGTCAGGGCAGACGAACGAAGGAACGAGCGAGCGAACGAACGAACGTACATATATGATGAGAGAAAACAACCTGTAGAGGAACGTTGTTGAATTCGTCGGCCTGTATGTTTTTATTTTGTCGAAATCCGTGAGCGGCGACCTCACGGTTGTGGATCGTAATTGAGGTCGCTTCTTCCCCCCGGACTTCCTCATGAAAAAGGACGTTTCTCCGTGGATGAGTATCTCTCAGACACCGGCACACATAGAGTTCCGTCGGATCGAGTTGGTCCGCAGATACCGGATCCGCAAACGTATATCATCTCTACGAAACGCGCTCCAGTGTTCGCAGAATGGGATTTGCATTGTTCAGCTCCTTTCCCAATCGTGAGTGACAACTCAAGCGAGGGGCGCAACTAAATGGTTGTGGCAGTTGTCGGTCCCTTGTGAAATCTACAACGGCTGTCGGCTCCATGCACGGAAGAAACGCTCGGCGCAGGTGGCTAATGCAGTCGAATTCTGTGCGGCAGACCGTCAAGTTGAGACGAGACAGAGGAAATGCTGGCAAAAGGAGCAGCTAAGAAGAGATCCTCTCAAGTTGATGTGTTCCTCGCGGAACGACTGAAGTTGCCGGGGGAAGAACGAGGCCAGTCACGGATGGTTAAACCACTGATGAGGCATTGAAGAGTCCGGGGATCGTAGCAAGCTGAGAAATCGGAACAAACATCTTCCGGCCATCCTAGAATAGGTAATATAGCGAGAACGATCCTCGCTCGCTCGCTCGCCGAATCATGCCATCTTGGGCCTTATGTCAATGAAGACAGCGAGATGAGCAGCAGCAGCACCGGAAAAACCGCGGGACAACGGAAAAAAGAGCCTCGAGCTCACTATGAGGAGGCAGTAATCCGCCTCGAGCGATTCGCGGCAGTCTGGGATGTTAGGGGCTTGTTTTCGCTCCCTGCTGTGCGAGCCCTCCCCCGCGAGCTTCGAGGGATAATTAACGACGTTTTACACCAAATGGAGCAATGAGCGTCTCCATCGCGGAATCTTGCAACTGAGGACGGTTAGCGTTCCTTGCTGCGAACCACGCAGTTCACCACTCGCGCTGAAAATGCGTTCGTCTCGCCCACCATCAAGCGCGAGAGTTTCTCCGGCGAATTCTCTCCCGGTGAGCTCCGGATGGAAGCAGACCGGGATACCGTAGTTCCGTTTCGGTGTTCGGCCGAATAATACCGAACATCGAGATCTCCATCTTCGAATAGAGCTTGATTAGCTTCTCGAGAAAGCCTCGGATTTTCTGAAGAATCTTGCTTCGCTGGGAGTTTTGACAGGCCTGATGGATGTTCACCAGTCACGATTGAGCAACATCATCTTCTGCGGGGAAATTCACTTCTGGGAAACTCCCGTGGCTTGCGAAAATCACCGGGAGAACCAACGGAACAGTTTCGCTCCCAGCGCATTCCGCACGGTTGAGGGGACGGAGGCTGGTGGATATCTTCTTGATATTGCAGAATACCTGGGAAATTTCTCCATCGCGAGAAATCATCCTCGGAGCTGTCCCGAGTCTCTGCGCCGCTCGGTTGAGCTGCACTCGGGTTTCTGTCAGACTTGCGCCCGTGCCGACAAGCATTTAGAGATGAATGTATTCGAAAGTCTCGACCATCTTTCTCGGCGAGCTCGAGGGATCGAAGCCGAGCTCGAAATCTGAGGCTCGCCGCTTCGCCTCAGAGTTTGATAGAAATCAGGGATGAATCTTCAACTCTCGTAGCTGACGGAATGATTTGTAAGGAAAGAGGAAGGAGTTCCCGATGGCGCTGGAAGAATCGCGTCAAATTTTGCCCCAGTAGGTCGACCTTTCAAGTCCCGTGTTCCGGGACGGCTGGCGTAAGAAAGTTCCTGCTAGCCTGATTCCCCCCTACCCCCAGAGTCGAGTATGCGACTCCCGCTGAGCTCTACCGGAACCCCAGGAGTTGGTCCCGGCGAACACAACGTGACATGCTTACGAACCAACGATTTTCTTTCAAGAGCTCCGACAAAGATTCTCGTCAAGCATTCCTGACCGGGGAAAATGGATGTGCGCCCACGAAACGGAGTCTTTTCTTCGACAGCGCTCACCGATACTCTCACCGAACAGCGTGACTTGATTTCAAGCACCTCCCTTTTATTCATGGGCATAAATTGTATCGGATACTTAACCTCGAGTCCCCGTGGGATTCACAACCGAATCAGGACCTATCCTCCTGCGACTTCGGGATCCTCCTGTCCGAGAGTGAGAAATTATGAGGCACCGACTCCATCAGGAGCTGTCATTCGTCACCTCCCGTCTCGGCGCGCCGTTCTCCTCCGGAACTCCCCCGCGTTCGACGCGGCGTCCCCGTACCTGCAGCGGGAGGTGTGGATCCTATTCTCGTCCTGCCGTCGCGGGACACCGGATTCCCATGGTTTCCGCCGAAACATTCTCATCCAACATATGAGGAAATAGATTTCGCGGGGACATTCGATCATTCCCTGGAAAGTTGGAGATGTGTCGAGTTCCAAGCTGTCTTTAGTGCACTCGTGTGCGTAGTGCCAGGCTTTCGGAGGCAAATCACGAGACGATGGCAAAGTGGAAGTTATGGAAGAAAGAGAAGACCCTCGAGGGAGGGGGGGTCGAGGGTTGAGGCTGCGGTTACCTCAACTCCGAACTTCTCTTTGGAACAAATAATCCCTCAGGCCATAGCGGAAAAATTCACCGGGTCCGTTCCCTGTGATTGGTACCCGGATGGGAGCGGAACAAATCGGCCGGGAACTTGTCTCCTAATAAAGGCTTGGAGGAATCATGCGGGCCTTCTTCCGAGATACTGGGATCCAACGCCGACGGAAGCTGCTCTTTATTTCTATAGAGTTCTAAGGTTTCTTGCCTTCCATTCTGGAAGTCGGCAGCGGCAGGCTTTCACAAATGCACCCGCATTGGACTATCATACTTGGTGATCGAGTTTAATTTCAACTTCTCCCATCGAGAGTATTTTCATAGAAGTTTCTCTGTTTCGCTGAAAGAGTGGATCCACGGCAGAGACCCGCTATTCACGGTATGTTCAGACGAAACAAGCTTGATTCGGTCCCGGAGCTGAGAGTTTTGCTCGATCGCCTCGCTAAGACTTCTTAACGTTTCTTCAGCAGAATGGCTTTTCGATTTTCTGGCGCTCTCGGGCCGTTGCCCCAGCGACCTTTCTCAACCCTCTCCGTGGGGCTCACTTTCACAGCCTTGGCAGTTCTGGTGAGTTTTCGCTTTAGTGGTTAAACTCGAATTCTCTCCTTTCCCACATCTCGAACCGCATCCGAGCCAGACAGCTTGTCCGTGAGCCTGGCTCAAGGCTCACCATCGCCCTATGTTGTGGAGACAAATGAAAATTACTCAGACCGGAAGCATCCCGGGGAATCTCAGCCACGGAAATTCGTCCTCCGACGATTCTATACTCATTTTTATCGACGTGGAAGCGATGCTGCGGACGCTTCGCAAGGGAATTGGACCAGGATGTCGCAAGGAGATGAAGTGTATAACGTGACGCTCCACTATTCCTTCAACCCTCCATCTCCCCACCTCGAAGAGAGAAGAATAATTCCGATTGCATAAGATACGTTTCTTTCAAACCCAGACAGGCGTATCGTGCGAAGATGATTTGCCTTTCTCGCGGAGACCCGATCTTTCTAGCCTAAAGCTGGAACTGGTGGAGGGCGATATGGCCGTGCCAGCGAGTCTGTTTCGCAAGGGCGTTCGACCTGCAGCGATGGCCTTGGCTCAGCGTTGGAGGAACGGTCTCGTCAACTATGCTTATCACAAATGTGAGTCTTCCCTGTTTGCTCTTGCTGCTGTACGCTGTTCGTTGCCTTCTCCTCGGCTGTGCGCTACATCGCAATCCCCCCGAGGTTCTTTGTGATGCGCACTCTCGACGTTCTCGAGTATAATATGCTGCCTCCATATCGAGGGGATTACAACTGAATGACCTAGAGACTCCTCATCGATGCAGACAAGTCTCCGAAGAATTGAAGGGAGTTCCCTGCTCTCGGAAAAATTGCAATAAAAAGGGAAAATATTCGCTCCGGGCCGATACCCTTCGAGGTTGTGCCGAAGTCACGCATCGGATGCGTACTCAGCATGGTGATAGCGACCCATGTCCTCCATCTTCTCTGACAGAAGACTCGAGGGACTGGTGAGGACGCTTGTCTTGCTAGAGCCGTCAGCGTAAGACAAAAAAGTGCGGTTTGACGGGACACTCGTGAAAGCTCCGTGTTATACAATATCGAAAAGAACATTACGATGAAACGGCGTGAATGTTCCGATAGCGGCAACTCTTGACAGAGTCTCACGCGGTCGATTTAGATATCGTATAACCTAGCCCTAGACGAACGAGCAGTCAACGCCTCCATTGGTGGGACCGGGGATCGCCGCTCGGTGCTCGCGCATCAAGTGTTTACCTAGTAACTCTAGTACCTGCGCTCGCTCGTTTCCGTGCAAACTTTCACGATCAAACTTGTACGTCTCTTGTTCGCACTGCTCGGAAGTTGGGTTTCATGCAGGGTGGACGCATCTCGAGTCCCATTCTAGCGTCCTGTCGGACAGCCCTACCGGACAGCCCTACCGGACGGCCCCACCACACCTGCCTGAACTCCTGCTTCATATGTTCGTTCGCCCCCCATCTCGACACCCGATCAGCTCGCGATATTCGTCGTTAGGTGGACGGTGAATGAATACAATCCCGCCACCAGAATGGCATCGACACTCCGTGTTCCTCTCGAACATTGACCCGCGTCCTGTCGGCAGCCAGAATACGTTTTGACGGGGCACGACAGCTGTAACGATCGACAAAGCGTGCCGAATCCACTCACTTATTCCGGCGAAGCCGTCAATGTTCGCTTCGCCTTCGCCACGTTTTCGCTAACGGAAATTCCGTGACAAGCGCCATATTTCCTCCCTGTTGGTCTCGCCATCGTATGCCCGCCTTTGATACACAACACGTTGCCGACGTTCTGATCGACCACGTGAAGAGAAGTAGAAGGCTTCCCTCCGTTGTTAATCTCGCAAACATATCCGATCGGGGTGAGTCCCGAGAATGATCCGATTCTGTGGAGTTCGCTGGGATCAGTCTTGGTTATACAAGATTCTTTCCGCGGAAAATCTCAGACTCACCCCTCCCTATCGAGAACAGCTGGTACGTACTTGTGACCGGCGGCGGCGCCTAACAAGCTAAGCACATTCCAGTGACAGCCTTGGGCTGAGACCAGCATAAAGAGCGACCATCTAACGCCTGTTCTCCTCTTTCCCTCGTTCTGCTCCGCATAGAGACGTCGCTCAGCCTTGTTCGCTTGAGCTCGCTCTGGCTCCTGCGAAGCCATCGCCCAGTCTTCGAACAGCTGCGCAGAGTGCATTTGTATAAAAATTCCATCTAGACTACACCTGAGCTGAGTGTAGCCGGAAACAACGCTGTTCTCCACCCGACAACCAGGGTCCTCCTAAGCCCCGAATTTTCCTCGAGCCAATCCCAATCACGGAATATACGGATTATCTCATTCGAATTATCCACCGCGTAGATCCCGAGTTCTTCTTCTCTTGAAACCATGATATCATCATGCTCCTGATAACGCTTGATTGGATAAGTCCCATTCATTTAGCTAGAGTTCCCACATCGCTACGGATAGGCGATGGAGGAGAGGGCTTCAAATTCCGCAGGGGAACAATCCTTTACGTTACGAGTAACTCGATTGAAGTCGCTAATTCGTCGGAATCGATTCCAGCGGCGGAGGCGAAACACAGGGAAGTCATAGAAGCAGGTATAAAACACTGGGAGGAGAACTCGTGCCTGTCGTTCAACTTGATGAATCAGACTTCGTTTGCGCCCACCACAACTCATCATATTCGCTTCCGGACAGATAAAGATGGGTCTGTATAGCCTTGATCGTTCGATATAAAATGTCAGTCGAACATCTACCCTGTGGTACTCGAGCATCGAAGCCCTTCGCTCCGATTGCAATGCCCAGCTCGAGGGGACCTTGATCCTGACGGGCGGACGAACAGTCGCTCCAACTCAAGCAGTCGCGGAAAAACTTCCGATACTCGCTGATCTGTCGAGGGAAGGTCGCCCCGGATATTGTCAACGAAGACTCCATGAGTCTCAGAGAGCGATTGTAGCGGGAAGAACACCAGCGGTAGCAACAATATCCTCATGGTTCATCAAGGCCAGACGGGAGGCTGTTTTCTGCGGCGCCGTGTGGCGCCATACCTATTGGAATACCTCTAACTAATATGAGATGGACGAGGAAGAAATACTCAACGCACAGGAACGGACCATCAATGTAGTTGCAATCATGATGGTGGACGTTTTCTTTCCTCCGAGGGGACTCTTTGTACGCCGCCATCGTCCTTCTCCTCGGGGTGACGTCGAATGGCTAGCCCACCCTGAGGCTCGTCCTCTGATTCGGTCCATTGGCTCGATGTTGAGCGGGTGCTTCTGCCGGAGTTCGTTTGTTTGTTTGTTCGTTTGTTTCTATTCATCGTATCCACGCCTTTTTTTCGAGTCATCAATTCATTGGCGCTGCTCGGTGCTCTCCTTCGGCGGCTCCTCGTGTGAGACTTTGTTTTCGTCGCACCCTCACGGTGAACGAGCAAAGAGCCGGTCGAGATAAGGCGCAAACGGACAGGAAGCGAACAGAACTGCATTTAGGCGCCCGATTCTATTCCTGTCGTTCCTCTCACGAGCACACGCAAGACCGAGCCCGGAGCGGCGGGGCTAGGGTGTCCAACCATTTTTCTTCGCTTCCTTCGGTCTCCGAGTCAGTCGAGCGGCTGTTCGGTTCTTTGTGTTTTTCTTCTGTTCGTTCTTCACTCGAACGCCCGATACGAGGGAAACTGATTCGAAGCGAGATAGCGATCACGAGGAGTCGCCGGCCGTGCCGAGTCGAATTGCTGAAACCGACTCCTCGCGCTTCGTTCCAGATGCTGGTCGCTCGTGGGGAGTACGTCTTTCGTGAGTACTCTGCAAAACATCCAGGACCTGGATTTCTCGGGGATATCTTACCAGGACATCAATCTGCAGGACCCGGGATGCGTGCGGGTGAGTAATCTGTCACTTACGCAGTGCTCGTCTATTCTTGCGTGGAGCACTTATCTTCCCATCTGCTGTCGGAACAGGAGCCGTCGCCGAGGCTTAACAGTCGGCGCATTATCAGCCGATTCCATGCTCAGATGCTGCACAGGGGAGCTGAACGGTGAAAACGTTGCAAAACTGAGAAAACTTGGCTGAGCTTTCTCCCACAAAAACGTGCGTCTGAGAACTAATGCCTCGCAGGGAAACGGAGGTGATGCGTTCCTCTTCAATCTGAGAGTTCGTTGAGGACGACTCATTGAATGGACAAAGTGTCAATCAGTGACGATCAGGCTGAGAGCCTGAGTGAGCCATCTGCTCATGGCAGCCAGAAGTTTCTGGGTTTTTGCACCATGTGCTGCCACTGATAGTCCTCCCACCTCTCAGAGACTCGAACGGAAAGACTCATTGAGATGCGAATATATTGCTCTGCAAACAGAGTCCCTAATTCCTGGCTTGACCAAAACTCCGCAAACTTTACCGCCAGAGAATTCCGCACTCTCATCACCTCCTGGGACGGCGGACGGAGGGAAGTTCGCCCAACTAGGTCGCAGACTGCGTATCGTATGTCGACGCAGCACGCTTCCACGATCGTTCCGCGAAACCGCCGCGTAGAGTCCGTGAGGAGAACCCGATTCGAGCAGGCGTCATGAACAGATTCACATGCAGGCAATTATTTACGTAAGACAATTCCGTTCGCTGGATTCCCCAAGTCGACGCGATATTTAGCGGCAGTCCCAGTTCCTCGCTGGGCGTTGTCTTTGAATGGAGGCCAGTTATGCGACTGACATCAAGACGATTCAATAGTCATACCGGAGACTATTACGAAACGCACTTAGAACGTATGACGGGAGCGCTAAAGCGTTGTTTGTGTCGCAAACCTCCTTCTCGACCGGGGAGCTGCAGTTGACGTGGAGATGTCATCTGACTGCGCGTCACTGATAGCTCATATACATATTATTAAGCTCGAGCTGGGCGAGCTAGGATTCAAAGCGCAGTCCATGTGATTTTTCGCTCCCACAGCGGCCAACGAGGTTTCCAGCCGGATGTAGGAGAAGGGTGGGGATCGCTCTCGGAACTCCGAGCTGGCCCCGAGCGGTAGTCGGTGAGCTGTCCGCCATAGTGCGTGCTCTCCGAACCGCGTTCGGATAGCTGACGAGAGATTTCGCCACAAATCCTCATGACACGCTTGGCTCGCGGCGTTCTCAAACCCTACAGGGCGTCATAAATAAGTAACGCCTTCTTCAGCGGACCGATAACGCCGACCGGAGAAAACACGCAGTCTAAATCTTGGAGAGTAACGCACGCCCCGCATGCACTGGTTCGAGGCGAGATGAGCCCCTCTGCAAGCTCGTTGTCCTCAGGCTCTCGACGGATTTCGTTTCCTGGTCGGGTGGCTGGCTGTCTTTCTCTCACCAACCCAGAGATCCGCTCTGATTCCGACCGCGTGCGAATCCAGCTCCGCCAATGTCTTTGTATTGTTATAGTTATTATTCTGGGTATTTTACTTCGCTCCACGCGCCTGGAGAAGACCAGAACCCATGTACAGTAGATCCACATCCAATGCGAAACCGTCAGCCCAGATTCACTCCTTGTTCGGCGAGAGCCCCATTTGGCTGAATTCCCGCTGCCCGACAGCCCTAAGGCAATCGATCGGACAATCGACACGGCGAAAAACATATGACCAGTAATTTTTCCCGTTGCTCCATTTGCACCGTGTCCCTAAGACAATCAGGAGTTCTCTCATAGGCGTGTTCCGTGTCTCCCTGTGCCTGCCGCTTGTCCTTCGCTTGCCTTGTGCACTACGCTTAGGTAAACAGTTTTTCCGTCGATGGCAACTGCGCAGCACTCGGCCGCCGCCGCCGCCGCCGCTACTGTTGATGCTCTGCCGACGGGTCGTCGGGCTCCACTTTCGAGAGGTTCTCAGAACTGACGTTACGGCACCTCCACGAGATAGCTACGAGTTCCGCGCCATTGGAGAGAATTATTACCCGCTTTTCTGGACTCCAATGGACCTGCTGCGACGCAAGCCTCTCGGAAGAAGGCTCATAGACTGGTTCCAGATGATCTTAGAAGTTCACCCAAGTGCTGAAAATGAGCTTGTTCACAGGTGGGAACCGTCGTCCACGAGATCGGTCACGCCATCGGCTTCTTCCACGAGCAGTCACGGAGCGATCGCGACGACCACATCACCGTTCTGTTCGAGAACATGGATCCGCAGATGAGATCCCAATTCGAGAAGCAGGACGACATGAACTTCACTGTTCAGTACGACTTCTCGTCGGTGATGCAGTACCCCCAATGGGCGTTCAGCAAAGACGTTCACGAGCTGAACACCATAATCACGAAAGATCCCTTCATGCAGCTGAGTCTCGGAGGGGACGTTCTCACGTTCCGGGACAAGAAGCTCGCCAACGCGATGTACAACTGCGACGGTGAGTGTTTTCCCCCTTCCGCTCTCCTGCCTTTTCTGTGGTGCGAATCACAGCTGGAATCGGATAGATGATAATTAGGATAATAAGATTTGGGCGGATACTTGGAGCGACTTATAATTAATCCGCGGAGATGGCTTTTTCTGTAAACGCGTTTCCAATAGTTTCCTTGAGAGTGCTGAGGCGAAAAAGACGGCCACCGGATCCGATGGAGTTCGGCATCAATTCTCCTAGTCCTCGCAGTCTCACAAATTCCCTTCCCGGCCGGTAGACACAAGCCGATGGCTGTATGACGTGCGAGTCCTCTCTCGGTTCGTTCACGTTTGCCGAGAGAGGAAGAGCCCGACTCTGTGTGAGCCCATTCTTGTGGATTGAGTTCCCCAATGAATGGATTCTTTTCCGTGGCCGTGACGTGGCATCAAGCGAGAGAAGGGTAGCCATAGCGTTCTGTGGTGAAGAAGAATCCAGAGGGAGGCGGAGAAAGACGACAACGACGTGAGCAAAGGGAGAAGAAGTCGCTGCTGCAGGAGATTTCAGCTGGCCAACGCAGTGGGGCCACGGTAGGCTTCCCCGATCCGGGATAGCTCCGGAATCGTGGCCGTCCAGTAACCTAGACCGGTGGTGCGGAACAGCTCCCGGGAATGCAGAGCTTGCCGAGGTCAGAGAGAAGAAAGAAAAAACACGCGGGAGGATACGATGAAAGACGCCTCCGGAAAAGATTCTCAATGGAAGGGTTTGTGGCCACCGATATTGCTGCGAATTTATAGCAGCGTTCTCGGATATTCTCGCGAAGTGGCTCGAAGGGCAAATAGCGAAGTCCTTTCAGCCGTATGGTCGAGGAGCATCGGGATCACGTCGTTCGGAGTCCATTCCGCTTATTCGGGGTCGCTCTCTCTCCCCCCACCGGGTCGTTGGAGGATGGATCGAATGAGCCTGTGAGCGAGGAAGTCTGATTTTTCTGCCGAGTAAGCGAGCTGCGCTGATCTCGGAGCATTTGAGCTCCCGACCAGACGACTTCCGTATGTGGATGGAATGAAATACGGCGGTACACGACAAGCGTTGCCGACTCGAGCACTCGTCAGTCAGGAACGTCGACGGTGACGGATGCGAGGAACAAACGAAACGAGGAGCAACAACGATCATCGATCTCGGCCAGAAAGTCTGCCGCGCCGCTCCTCGGAATCGACGACGACGCAACCGTCTGGGCGAAAAACGAAAACGGAGAAACTATTAAAAAGATTTATGTAATGTCGGTGGCCATTATGGGAAAGGCAGTCGCAATAGAAGGATCCGGACGAAGGTCTCGGCCTTTCAGCCAAAACGAAAGAAGCACACTGGACCGAGGTCGTCGGAGGCTGAGCGCACGCTGGCTCGGTGAGGAAATACAATAGCTGACCTCTCCGAGAATACTACACAAAAGCGAGATCCCTCCCAATGGAAATTACCTGTATTGAAGGAGAAACGACGGAGGTTCGGGTGGGATTCGCAAAATCCCAACGCTTTGGCTGTCTCCTCCCGCAACGAGAGTCAGGGGAAATATGGAGGCAAGCTCCCGACAAGCAGCGGACTTTCGCGTCAAACACGTGGATTCGGCTCGAAGTCCCGCAGCGTGACGTCGTTCATTCAGAGAGCGAAGAACCAACCGTAGCGCTCCATGCGGGCTCGGTCACTTGAGTTCGGTCTTCTTTGCTGGAGATGGATGCTCATCCCAAAGATGAGCTCATGAGCTCCGGGCTGGACTCGTCCCTCATTCGGCAAGGGTATTCGATGAGTAATCTCAAATAATGAGGAATCTAGCCGGCAGAAAGCAAGGATCAATTCTTCAAAGGAGTCCAAGAAGCTCAGCGGATGGCATAGCTCGAAAAATTCAAGACGGAACTCACTCCGAAGCTTTTGCGCAGCAAACGGAGGAAAGAAAAATATGTCGGTGTGAACGGCTTGGAAGGAATCCGCTCCCCGATCCCGAGCCTCAAATAACATTCTGGCCTGGATCGACGAAATCGGTTTCTCCGTCGGTTTGTCGCTGTTGTGCTTGGTAGTTCGACAGGAGGAGGGAATATAGGAGCTCTTGACGTTCAGACGGCACACACGGATGCTCACTCGGAAAGCTTGTGGAGGGTAGAGTGTCACGGCTCCATCAAGTTTTGAAATATCCGGACAAAATCCAATGTACTGCGTACAATATTGACCGCTGCGCAGACGACGTGTGAAAATATCGGTGGGCGGCCACCGACCGCGGAGAAGATATCCGGAATCCCGATTCCGCGGAAGGGATCGGTCCCGTGGGTTCTGAACAGCTGACTGCGACTGTCGATCCGAGGACCATCATTCGATTAGACAAATGAGATTCTCGACAGGAAATCGAGGAGACCGACAGGATGAGTTTCCCGCGCAGGCGGAAATGTTTATTTAGCCCATGAGAGGATGTTCCGGGACCGCCGGCCTCCATGTGTCTTGCGTAGAGAAATATGAATTAGGTAATTGGACTTCGCCCCGAGTTCCGACGATAGCTGAAAATAACGCATTATCCCAAATGACACCTTTTCCATGATGGACGCATACAAGCATGACTTACATGATCGATTCGGTGTTTTCATTGCATGAAATTCTAACTGATGTTTTCTCTTGGAAATTCGTTCCCAGCGGGTTGCTCGAATCGAGATAGTTTGAAGTGCGAAAATGGTGGATTTTTATTCGCGCGCTATCGGGAAAAACGGGAATGTTCTTGTACGTGCCCGCCGAATACATCTGGAGAGCGCTGCGAGACGGTCACGCGGGAAAACTACTACGGTAAGTTCGTCGTTCGTGCGTTGAATAGGGACGTCAGTTGAGGCGTATCTCGAAGAGCGTTTTCCCTCTGTCGTTCCTCCTAATCTTATTTCGTGCTGTTGCGTCATTCGCGATAAATGAGATGGAAAGAAACAATGACGATCTCCCTACGCCGCCCGCCGCCCTTTTAGAATTCCCGTTTTCCTTCACCCCACCGTTGCTGAATTCTCTTCTTATGGATGGAGCAAATTGCGTCTCCTGGCTCCGCTCCGACAGAAATCTGCGACTCGAGTCTCCCTTTCTAGAAATGAATCTTGTCCCATGATCTGGCGAACGAGTCGCTCCAGACCTGCTCGGACCACACGCCGGTCGCTCCCAAAGTAGCGAGGCGAATGGCGTGGGCATCGTTTGAGATTCGTACACGGAAAACGAAGATGGATGAGCTAGTCACTGTTCCCAACTTTCCTTATGGAAAGTCCGCGCACTGTTTGTTCCGCGCTCTTCCAATCGGTCTCTTCTCGATACGATGCCGATAGTCGACGAGCATTGAGCAGCTCGGGATCGGAGAGCCGAGTAAACGGGATTCCTGCCCGGAGAAGATTGGCCGCTCCTTCCGAAAGCGCCGGTGCTCACATTAGAGAATCGGAAGCCTTGCAACAATCCGAGGACATGGGAGCGCTGCTCTTCATCTTTCGCCACGCGAGTCGAGTCCGCGATAAGTTGCAACGGCAACAGGTTATAGCAAGCGATAGCAGCAGTGCGCCGTATGCTAATAGCGACGCCACGGAAGCCGAGGCCTGCGAGAAGACACGGGAGTTTCCTCCAGACGTTTCCTACGCTCCACGCTTTCATTCGGAGGTTTTAGCTCCCAAGGGAAATCGACGGAGACTCTTTCCGAGCAAGCTGGGACTGTTTGCTGGCAGGCTGGAAATTTAGCGCTTGTACGGTTGGGAATTGATAGGAATCTCTCCGGATCGCGACTTCGTTTGCATCTTGATCGTCGAGGTTTCGACGTGAGACGCTATTTGCAATCTCGAGCTCCGGGTTATGGTCATCCGATGGGCTAACGAAGGGCAGCGGGGGGCGAGCCGTTTTCTTAGGGGAATCCAAATTTTTCCCCGATTGATCCTGAGTGTCTGTCGTAAAACCCGATCATTAATCCACAGATCATCCCAAATGTGGAGGGACCGTCACGACTGAGGGCACTATCGAGACTCAACGTATCGACGAGCCATGCATCTTCTGGATTCAGGTAATGATCCGTTGTGTCGGGTCCTCTCCCGAAACTATCGGAGCGTCAAATGGAATCCCTTCGACTCCTCGAGCTCTCGACGGCCGATTCGGCCGCTCGTGGAGCGGGGCGTTTCTCATTTTCCGTTGGGATGTCTCTGTGGTGACAGACGACTTACTTTTCGGTGATGTTTTGTTTGATAAGCGTGCGCCGTAACAACACCACGTAGGCGAACGCAATTCGTATCCTCTCGCCTGTTTTCTTTTCTCCTGAAAAGCGCGGCGAACCTATGTGTATGCATTGGACTGGGAGGGAATTAACAGACCATTATTGTTATTGCTGGCGCCGCCGATGCCAAGGCGTCTGGCGGCCGAGCGAACGGTTCTCGCTACGAGTGCTCGTGGCCTTGTGAGGATCATCGCCCATCCGATTGGATCAACTTGGGGGGGAGCGCTTCTTTTTCCTCTTCTGTTCCCCAGGCTCCCGAAGGCAAGAGGGTATCGCTCAAATTCGACGAGTTCGATTATCCGGAAAGGAGGAAATCGGGCCGCAGTTCCAAATTGAAATGTCGTGCGACCAGACTCGAAATGCGTCTCAAAGACACCGTTCACGGTCAAATGTAAGTTCGACATAAACCCTAGAGTTTGAAAAATCTGTTCGCGCATATGTATATTTTCCTCCGGGAGTACTCGATCCATAGGGGAAATTAAGATCCGAGACAGGAGGAGATTCCCAGACTCCTGAATTTTGCTGTGGTTCAACATCCGTGGGAGATCCTGAAAGACCGACCGACCAACGACAAACCAAGCGGAAGACAGACCGCCAATCGAGGTTCACCGGCGACAAAGCGAACATTGCGGCGGTGCAAAATATTTTCTAACATTTTTTTCCTCGAGCCCGACTCATCTCGTTCCGTTCCTCAATGGTCTGCTCTGCGACGAATTCGAGGGCTAGTCAAACCGACTCCTGTTAAGGAGGAGCGGTGCAGTAGTCCCTCTGGCGCGAAAGGCAGATAGCGGGCTGCTGACCATTCAGGGCGCCCTGATAGACGAGAGCGACTAATTATTCCTTTCGCTCCGAACTGTATCGGAAGCCGACCGAGGGGTCTCGGTTCAGGATTCACTAGAAGGGACGGTCTCCATGAGCTGAACTGGGAGTCTACCCCATTCTGTTCGCTGTGAGCGTCGGTAGCTCTACCGATCGATCATCAGGGCGGCTCGAGCGGTTCGCGGCGCACTGCCTGGCCCGCAGTGCCCGCAGGTTTAGTTCTCGCTCATGGGTGCGTATGAGGTTCCGAGTGGCCCTGAAGAAACGTTCCTCGGTGTTCTTGTGGCGTTGGCCTCATCGGGACGATAACCCTGTTGCTTTATTGGAATCTGCGGACGATGAGGCGGTGCTCGATAATCTCATGCAGCCTCGAATATCAACAAGCTCTGCTTCTAAAAATTAGCGGAAGGCAGGCGCTTCCTCTCTACATTGAGGGAAGAAATTAGATCCCTCAATTAGGGCAACCTGCTCTCCACTTCCCCAAGGAAAAACGCCTCCGATTGTCGGTCCCGACCAGTAGAGGGTACTCTATACCCTTCAATATGTTATCCAATTACCAATTAACGTCACTTGACCGACGCTCAACTCGGCGACGTCTCGCCTGAGAGCCCCTAAGCGGGCTGCTTTCCTCAAAGACATGGAAAATTTCTGGTGAAATATGTATGAGCAGTCGTTATTTGTCCCCGGGTGGGGTTTTGTCGAGCTGTGCGGCGAGCGTCTCCAGCTTATTGCATCGCTGTGTTCCATTCGCCTTGAGCTCTATTCGTCGAGGCAACTTCGCGCACTAGCCATGGGCCGGGCGCTCGAACTTTAGCGGCGCTGCTGTCAGTCTCCGCGCAACCAGCTTACCGACTTGTGACGGCGGAAAAAACGTTTCATGATCCTTTGTCGCTGCTCATTCCCCCCATCTGAAATCTTCTCCCCAACTCGAGTCGCACAATGAAGGCGGGGATCAGGGATACCCGTCTCTCGAGTCGATGCGCTCCGAGCTTGAGGCGGTCGTCAAATCGAGCCTTCGACGAAGATCATAGTTGCGGCTTCGGTTTCGAGTTCGGAGAATAGAGAACTTGCTGTTGGAAACCGGAAAGAGATGTACATACAAAGTGAAACAGCTCGCAAGGCGCTTCAGGGCGAAGACAAAAGAAGGGACTCTATTCCCACAGACAGGGACATGTTTTGCAAATTCAATTCGGATTCCAGCGAGCTTCCTACACGTTTCCGCTGTTTATCACTCACTCATCCACTCTTCCATTCGCCTCTTTTCTCCCTGGCCTATAAGCTGGTGTCCATGAACGACACGCTGTCAGCAGCGGCTGGCCTGACATCTGAAGAGTTCTATTTGTGCAAATCTGTTGGATTCGGTCAGGAACTCGCTACTGTTGTGAGGTCTTTGGACAACTTCTCTCCTTGCAGGTATTGCGGCGACGAGCTCGCCGGGAAAGAATTCAAGTCGGACACGAGAGACCTCATTCTCATATCGAGCAGGCTGGCACAGGAGTCCTCATCGGGTTTCAAGGGCACCGTGACTTTCGAATGAGCAATCGAATAAAACACTCTCACCATCCCTCGGAGAATCAGTCGTGAGGTCTTGATTTATTTGTAGCCAAGCTGCGCAATGAAACCTCAGCGAACACGCCCATTGTGGTGATGAGGTTGATTCTTGTTTATTTGTTTTGCTCGTTCCTTCGCTTGTTCGGAATCCTTCGCGAGCGGTTCTGGAGGTCGTTGCGAGGGCTCGCCCTCAATTTGGCTTCGGAATCTTTCAGCTTGGATGTTGGCAACAGCCCGCCGGCTCGACTCGCCCTCTGTCATCGTCCCGTGGCGCCAGGTTGACTCGTCTCGCCTCGTCGTCGTTTCAATGGGTAGATCCGTTCCCAGATTATTCAGTCGGTTAGCGGGCCGACCAATCTAGCTCTGATGCGGAGCTTTATACGGTCCCTGTGATTTATTCCACCTGTACGAATGCCTGCAGCTGGATGTCTAGAATTTATTGGGATTGATCGACGATGACGGCTCGAGCCGACCACCGGAGTCTTTCGGGACTATGGAGGTCGATGTTTGATACCTTATTGATTATCCAATCCCTACGGTTTCGCTCTGCAACGTGGAGCTCGGGAGGAAGCACCGTCTACGGGATGAGCCGGGAATACGGAAGGAATGCGGTAGAGAGCGAGGGCGCCACCTGAGAGGAGCGTCGCGTCGCCCATGTTGTCAAGAGGACCACGATGGCAGTCGAGGTCACCAATCAGCGGATCACTGCCATCGTCAGCGATCCAGTTCCGAATATGCAGCCAGAGCTACGCTCCCGAGCGAGGTTCTCCCCACGATACCGTTCAAACTTGAGTCGGGAATCCGCTTCGCGGTTCCTGCTTAAGGAATCACCCTCTCCAAGCGGAAGCGTCTCGACGGACGCGGTGGTTCTACGTGAGTTTGATGAGAATTGTTCTCATTCCTCCATCGAACTCCCACTCTCGATCGGATGCGGAAGCATAATGTTGCTCAGCAGGCGGCGATGATGAATCCTGATGATCACCACAGATGAAGCCATGTCATTGTTCCGTTGACGGTAAGACAGCGGGGGTTCTCCGACCAATGGGAACGATCGAAACCCGGCGGCGTGGCTTTGCTGTGATCGCTCGCCGAGTCGCAGCCGCAGCTTGTTCCAATATTGATTAAAATCGATATATCTCGGCGATGGATCGGCGCGACCACGCTCTAATGAATGATTCAGCTCAAGGCCCCATGCACCTGACGAGACCTCGACGACGAGCGCGCGTGTTGACAAGTGACTTTTACAAGGCGGGACTCGACACTCAACGAGCTTTTAAATTTTCCTCTACTAAAACGTGACGAAGCTGAACGTGACTAGGCTTTTTCGAGAAGTTCCACACTCGAGCGTGGTCGATCCGAGCAGAGAACTCCCGTACCGTCGGAGAGCTCGGTGGGATGGACGAACATGCCAGAAAAAGATAGTTATCAATCGTAAACTGTCTTTGGATCAGACATCGCTCCCGTGCACATCCGTAAGATTCTGCGCAGAGTCTGGCGTTATCGATCGTTCTGACTCACAGTCCAGAGCCCCGAAAGAAACTACGCTAGAGCCACGCAAGTCACGGGCGCCTCCGATGTTTTGTACGATATCCTCCCCGCATGAGCCGAAACATGCCGCGAAGTTTGTCGTGCGAACCCGAAATAGGTCTGGAACACCTCAAGATGGCCGCCCGGGGGAGAGGACTGCGTGATTCCTCTAAAGTGCTGTTACTCTACAACCAATACGCAGGGCGTTGGCTTAGCCAGAGATTTCGGACGAGGCGAGACGTTGTATTCAGGAGGGCTGTGGCAAGCTGAATCCGTTTCCCGGGGAATTCTCTCTCGGGGTAGAAGGACGAGCTCGAGAAGAACTATCAACTATAGCCTCTCCAGTCGGTTGCGCTCGGAACTCGCGTTTCCGAGAGAGGGATTGTCGCCCGACGAATGAATCGCGCGCTCAAATTCAAAGTAGCCTCTTCCAGTGGAAGGATGTCTCCCGTCTTGAGTCTGAGAGCTGTACACCCACGCAGTTCGCCGACCCACGGAATGGGGCGAAAAGCGGACCTGGGACCAAACAGCTGAACATGCTTGCGCAGCATGCCGACTTTTGCTTTCGGAAAAGCCTCCAGAGAGAGCAGAGCTTTTGTCGGAGAAAACATGAGCCGAGGAGACGCAGTTCACAGAAACGAATCGAAAGGGGGAGGCTGCAAGTCTAGGTACGTACATTGAGGGCGACAGGAGGCATGGGGTACCCAATGAGAACCAGGCGGATGCCAGTCTTGCTTCGGAGCGCATAAACGGCGGCGAAGTGATCAGAGCCAGCTGTTAAGCAGCCTGTCCTGGAGTCTGTGAGTATCAGAGCGGGTAACACGAAAGAGGAGCTTTGCCGTCTCGCGCTCGTATCGATGCTGCTGTCCCCGCCGCCGTCGCTGGTAGTGTTCTTGTTCTCAAGTTTTTCATCGTCACTCGCGAGCGGGTTTCCGGCTTTCCAGGATTGCTCTCGGAAGTCACTTCTGAAGATTCTCCCGATTTCCTCCCAGTGTGTTTTTCAGAGGTTCTCCCCTCGCAGCCACTCCTTTTTGCCTCATGGACGCTCAAAAATTTTTCAGTCCCCCTCCTTCCGTCGAGCTTTCCCGATTCTAGATGAGAGGTCAATTGAGACGTGCAAGGACTATCCCTGAAACCTGATACGAGCGGGGAGAACGAAGGAGAATCTGACCGAATCTGCCGCCAAGAAGCAGTCGATCAGCACGGGGTGCGAAAACAGAGCGGAGGAAGCGTTTAAACTCCGGCTTGATAAGCTGGCTAATGCGCGAGGTTCCTCCATAGGAGGATGAGAATTCCTTTTCACCTCCGAATTCGCAAGGGCTTGAGGTGAATCCTTCCGCATGCCAGCCGCTTGGCACGCTACTTTTCTTGGTCGTGCCGCTTCCGAGGCTGTCGCGATCCCCTCCCGATCGCCAAAGCTGCGCATGCGACAGCCCAGCTGCGGCTGCTTTGTTGCTTGTAGAGTGCAAGGTTAATCAAGATTGATAGAGAAGCGCGAGTCGGAGGCAAAAGAGTAAATGGGAAGAAACGAGCTGAAGAAAGCTCCACTGATTGTGAGTTTGTGCGTGACGGTGACGCGCTTTCGAGTTCCGGAGTATCCACTAGTGTGAGTCGTTCATCCTCGCTGTGCGGAAGTCCCTTCCCTTACTCCGCGAGTGAATATGTTTGAGAAAAGGGCTTTCCGAACTTCGATTCCTTCAAGGCCAGAGATGGATGTCATTAGGAAAGCACTGGACAGCACTTCGCGTCTTCGGAGCGGAGAGCCCCCCGGTCGGCGGCTTCAGTAATACAAGTGAGACAAGAATAAGAGTTTCTGAGTTCACCAACATGAAGCATCGTCCTTAGAAATCGGATCACGGAAGGTGTGAAGAGTCCGCGAAAAGCAACGATCATCAGGATGGAATTCGCGTGACGTCCACTCAGTTCTACGATAACATTCCGAAGCCTGAAATACCGGCAAGCCCGTAGGTAGCTCGAGAGTTTCCCCAGGGCCTCACACTCTCCCATGGTTTCGTGGACCTTGCCACTTCGAGGTAGGAGGTGGTTTGATATCTTACCGTTCTATCTCGCCACAGTGTTGATTTGTTCGGAATTGTGAGCCTTAAGTTCAGATTAAGTGCACTCCTCCTCAAGCAGCACCTCTCGAGGCTCTGCGAGAGTTGATGAGTCCTGCACTCTGCTGGATCAAATGACGCTACCAACTTAGAAGTCGCCCACCTAATCGAAGCGAGAAGATTGTGGCCCAACTTTCCGCAACAGCGAAGGAGCTTGGTCTCCAGATCACACAGCGGACTTGCTTAGCTACTCGTTCCGCACTGGTCGAGTCAGGGACCATCATCCAGGTCAAGCTCACTCTCCCCGGCGAGAATCATGTGACGACGAATGTTCAGACACAGTCATGTGCACATATACTTAGATCCAGCATCCACGGACTGCTGACGAGGCGCTAGCGGAGACGCGGGCGATGAGATCCGGAAACTCCCAGAGCAAGTTGACACACCTTCGAGCTGGGACGGTATTCCGGCTCGGAGGTCTTTCACGCTCAACGATGCCATCCGCATATTGGACTCCTTGACCCTGTCGCTCGCCGGTTCTGCGTACGCGGAGAACGTTCACAGCTTGATTCCACGGGACCGAAGCGAGGACGATTCATCGACAAAAACAGAAGTGTTCGTTGGGGGCTCTTTGACAGACTGAGAGTTGCTCGAGGAATTCCTGTAGCGGAGAAAGCTACAATTTGGGGGAATTCATGGATACGTCGACGAGTGGGAACGATTCTGCGAATACAACGCTTTTGAGACGTGGATTGCATGTCAACTGTGCTCATTTCGCCCGTTTGAGGACCGAAAAAAAAATAAGCGACAGCAGCTGCTGTTTAAGCGCAGCCGTCGTTGAGAGGCAAAAGAGCAGCCGAAGTGCCTGCAGTGGGGGCGAGTTCAGCAACGAGGGTCGGAGGTCAATGATGTGGGGACAGAGGAGAACGCCGTGCCAAGTCAACAGAGGGTCCGAAGAAGGAGACGTTGGAAAAAAGTCATCCGAAAAGTCTCCCACCGGCTCGATCGGGCAAAGACCTTTTTCAGTGGATCCGCTTCCTTTGCTCGTTCGCCGGCTCCCTCCTCGAATCGCTCCCGAAGCGAACAAGGACGGGGCGGGCAGCACACCTGTCTGGAATAGCGTCCTTCGAAAACAGAGAACCAGTTGCGAGACTCAGAGGCATTTGCCTCGGGCCTGGCGACAAGCAGAATGCGATCAGAGAATCTAAGCTCTGCCGGATGTATTTCAGCAAAGAGATGCCAATAGATGGCGTTGACCGAATTCTGCCGGCGCTGGCGGTAGCAACGGAGGAGACCGAAGGAACGAGGAATCGCCGAGCAGTGGGAACCCAGCGATCTCTTCGCTGATCTGCTGCTGCTATCATTTCACTACGATGCGGGTGTGCTCGAGCGAGGGTAGGATCTC